CGCCCGGGGCCGCCTGGCGCGCCGCTCTCGGGCTCGATTGCTCTTGCCTGCCACCAGTCACCGCCTCCTTGCAAAAGCCCGGGCCGGGCGGAGAAGCTGTGGGCTGACCTGGGTTCGCCGCAGGGGACGTGGACGCTGGCTTGCTGGCTGGCTTGCTTCCCTCTCTCTAGCAGGCAGTTGGGGGGACCCCTGCAGCCATGCTGGACTTCGCCATCTTCGCCGTCACCTTCCTCCTCATCTTGGTGGGAGCCGTGCTTTACTTGTGCCCGGTAAGTCGTGTGTGTGTGTGTGTTTGCGTGCGTGTGCCCGTATCCGTCCTTCCATCCCTCCCTCCCTCCGAAAATGTGTGTGTGTGTGTGTGTCTGCATGTGTGTGCCCGTGTCCGTCCTTCCATCCCTCCCTCCGAAAGTGACTCCTGTTGAGTTCAATGGGGCTTCCTTCCAAGTAAACGCGGATGGGACTATGCGTTGATGGTGCAATCCCATGAGCTCTACTCAGAAGTAAGTGAGCGTAAGTCTCCATAGTTCGTCTTGCAAGCGGCCCAAGACGTTTTCCCTGGGCGTTGATGTTTCTCTGGAGTTGGATTTATTAGTCCGTGTCCTGAGGAACGGACAGAAACCAGAGGGGAGGGACGCTGTTTCGGCTACCCTAAAACATTAGGGACCGATTCCTGATCATTTAAGGTTATGGCCGTTTCCTTGCAAAGCACCGTTTTATGTATAAGAAGGTACATTGAATCTGTTCTTTGGCCAATCATATCAGGGCACTGTCGATCTGCTCATAAAAGTACCAAGAGGGATAAAATAAATAAAATCATAGCATTAAATTGCAATAAACAGTAATAAAAGGCAGAGAAGCAGCAGAGCAGTCCGAATCGCCTCAGGCTGGCAGGAGTTCTCTTTGCCCTCCACCAGCCTGGAAAAGTCACCTTTTCAGACTAATACTCTTGGAATTTCCCAGCAAACACAGTCATTTTTCCATGCTCTGAGCTACAGGTGTATCTTGCATGGCATTCGCAGAATGAAGTATGTGAACAACACTGTTTAGGAATCGGATACAAACCACCTAGGACTGCAGTCATGGGTGTGCATCTCAGCGGTTTGGAAGTCAGTGGGATTGAGTTCCGCCTCTGCACATGGATGCACGCATCACACCCTAGAGTTTGGGAAAGGCATGGCCCGCTAGTGGCCGCCAGGTATGCCCGTCCTGTTTCAGTGCTGAGTCAGGCCGATAATGGATTGTAAGCTGACGGCTGTTTTCCCCTCTAGTCTTCCAGACAGGCTTCAGGAATTCCAGGAATGACTCCAACTGATGAAAAGTAAGTTGCTTCTTTCTTTGGCAGTATCTGTTTCCACATCTCTTTACCGCCTGATTCTTCCTCTCCCCTCCCCCCCCCGGGGGGTATTCCACAGAGGGGTAGTTCAGGGATCAAGCACAGGGAGTGTTAAGACATCCAGATATTACTGAACTGCAAATCTCATGTCGAGGATGATGGCTTTTAGATACAGTACTATATCAGTAACATCTGGTGAACCAAAAAGCTTCCTGCCCCTCCTGCAGGTGTCCACAAGGACCCTCCCAGGCATTGGCTACCCCTTTCTCAGTAAAGAAAGCTCCTCTGGCTCTCATTCTTACATCCAGTGGTTTGGTCTGCTGTGTGGCATGAAAGGACTTATATTGGTGTGTAGGCTGGGAACACAGAGACAGGTCTCCAGAATGTTCTAGGAGGGCTTTTTCTTATAATAGTCTTATTTGGAACTGTAGTGTTTCTGATATAGTAGGCAGTCACTGCCTCTTTATAGAGCAAAGAATTCTGATTAACCTTTTTCTGCCTTGATTGCTTATTATTCAAATTCAGACATTTGCCTGTTTATTCACCCTGCTTATGTTCCAGAGATGGGAACCTCCCAGACATCATAAGCAGTGGTAGCTTGCACGAGTTCCTGGTACATCTCCACGAGAAATATGGCCCAGTTGTCTCTTTCTGGTTTGGACGGCGTCTTGTCATCAGCTTGGGGTCCATTGATCTCCTGAAGCAGCACATCAACCCTAACAGGACATGTGAGTACTGTTCCCTTCTTGTGTTCACAAAAACTTGCATTGGATGGAACTGATTAAAAAAAAACAGTGTTTTTTTTATTGTGGTGCAATCTTTTGTAGTCCTCCTCAGACTCGTGAGGTGTTGTATTCACTGAGCAGATTACCTGCACAAAACACACTCAGGTACAGGTTGCGTGTGCAGGGGGTTGGCAGATTGATTGCAATGACTCTGTCATTTCTGGTGTCATTTCACAATACAATTCCCTTGCACACTCAGCTCATATTCATGTGGGATTGAGGCTGCCTTTTGTATCCCAGATCCTTGTCTGTTTTGAAGTCTTATCAGGACAGCCCTGGGTATTTGGCTCTCCGGAGACAGGGCTGACTGCTGTAAAGGCGACACCCCTCCTGAAACAAGAAAAAAGTGGAATGTTTAATCTACAGATTCTTTAGTTTGTACTTCATACTGTGATAGATGACACAGGCTGGTGAGTGAGCAAGGAAACGTTGATCGTATTACAGTGGTGCAGGTGAAATCTGTTTAATGCGTTCCAATGGGGAAGAATTGTTGTCTAACGAAGATTGGCCATAGGAAAGCCGCTTTGCGAACCGCTGATCAGCTGTTTAAATCGCTGTCTTGCGAAGCTTAGGCCCCAAAAACACCCGTTTTGCGAGCGCAGAGGGAGCTGTCAAAATCGTTGTCTAGTGAAAATCAGTTTGCGAAGCAGGGACCAAACATTGTCCAATGAAATTCTCCCATAGGAATCACTGTTTTGCGAATCGCTATAGCGATCGCAAAAAGTCAATGTCTAGCGAAAAAACTGTCATGCAGGGTAACTGTCTAGCGAGGCACCACTGTATTTGTTTAATTAATTAATTAATTAACAAATGTTTATCCCACCAAACTAGTAGCAGAATCACTACTCTGGGCAGCTTACAGGAGAACATTAATAATAATTGTGTGCTATCAAGTCAGGGTTTTCTAGGTAGAGAGTACTCAGAAGTGGTTCACCATGGCCTCCTTCTGGGACTGTGCAGCTTGCCCAAGGCCACACAGACTGGCTCCTCTGGGCTGCACCGTGGGGAATTAGTTCTCTTCAATTTCTTACCTACTTTCTGTATCAATAACAGTGGTATCCTTCTGTACTGGAGGATTATCATGTTACTATAACCTCCTATCCTACCTGGCAGGTGGGTTTTAGAGATGCTGCTAGGAGAGGTGGAGTCGTGCTGTGGGGGAAGAGGAATAGAAGCTGAAGGAGTGCCACACACTTTCTAACACACACAGATATACAATTTAAGTGAAGCCCACACACCATTTTTGCACAGACTCTGCATCAGTTGCATGCCTGAGGCACAGCCACCCACTCTCCCACACACATGTGCACAGATGCACACAGGCAGCTCACACTCCAGCGAAAACAAAATAATGTAGAAACAAAAGTCTTTTGGTGCTCTTAAGACTTAACACATTTGTTTTGGTCTGTGCTGCTTTTAAAATCACTTTTTCCACATATGTTTTGTCTTAAGGTGCCACAAAACTTCGTTGATGTTGCTTTTGTTGTCAGGTTTAACTGGCCACAGTGTGAAGAAATGTATCCTTTTATCTGTCCCAAACCTCCCTGTATTCAGCTGTGTTGGATAACCCTGTTTCCTGTATTAGGAGAGAAGGAGAAATATTTGTCCCTGTTGGTTTCCTCTGTACCATGCACACAATCCTGCGCATCTCTGTCAGGTCCCCACTTAATGTGAGATTTCTCCAGGTTAAGCTGCCTGAAATGATGTAAGATGGGAGTTGCTCCTGCCCCCTGACTGTCTGTCGTGTTTTTTTTTCTTGTTGTGCTGGTGAAACTTAATGTGAGATTTCTCCAGGTTAAGCTGATGTAAGATGGGAGTTCCTCCTGCCCCCTGACTGTCCGTCGTGTTTTTTTTTCTTATTGTGCTGGTGAAAGAACCCTGACTGGGATGGCCTGTAACAGTGATGGAGAACCTTTTTTGATCCTGAGTTTTTTTGTCCCGGGACCACCCACGAGGGGGGGGGGGGGACCAACCCAGCTGGTGGTGGTGGGAGTGGCGGCGGCAGAAGTGGTGGCAGAAGGGGGAATCCCAAGCATGGAGGTGCCTCCAGACCAAATCCGCCTCCAGTTGTGCCCAACCCCACCACTGCCTATAGCTTGACCAGCCTGCCGCCACCAGTGCCAGCTGCTGTTGATCCTGGCCTGCCGCCTCTTGGGGCACTGGCACCGCAGCTGCAACCTTCTCAGGTTTGGCTGCCAGGGGTGGCGATCCAGCGACTTATGGCTCACGTGCCTGCAGAGAGGGCTCTGCATGCCAGCTGTGGCACGCGTCCCATAGGTTTGCGATCGCTGGCCTATAATGTTATTTCAGCGGCTATAAAGATGGAAGGAGCTCACCTAGCACTTCATATTGTGCTTCTCAAACCTACAGCAAGAGGTTTCTTCTGACTTAATTTGATTACTGTGTCATCCACTACCCACCATGAATCCATCAACTTTTCATTGTGCCCCAAGATGCCCCCCCCTTTTTTCTTGCCTGTATGTTATTGCCTTAGCTTAAACATAGCTGCCGCTCTAAAATTAGTCACAGTGAAGGCCTCAAGGCCCCACTGTTCACTAAATGAAGATAGCCAAGAGGCAGAGGCTTCACTGTTGAAGATTGGGAAGGGGATGACATGGAGCAGCTGTTGCTATAACTGTTTTCACAGCTGAGCAGTAATGTTTAGCCCAAAGCTATAGTTGATGTGACTTTTGCACCTAAAGTCCCTCAGAGGAGGCTCAGCATTTCCCAGTGTGTTCTTTCACAGTTCTTGCCTTTAAAAAGAACACGTTCATTCTTGCATTTCTTCTTCTCAGGTGTCAATAAAGGTTATGAAAATTCCTTGGGCGAGCCTTTATCAAAGAGGTAGTTTGGAGGTTTGTTCATTTATAAAATGGGAGGACCTGTTAGTAGTTTTGTCTCTAGTAATACTTAAAAATGGTTTTTAGACTCCCAGGCATTGAGATCCTATTCTGCAGAAAGAGAGATAGAGAGATAATTAATCTTTTCTAGAAAAACAATGACAGAAGAAGCGTGAGTGACATGGATAGTTTTTTTTCGCCTCCACATCTCAGTGTAGTGAAAAGTAGGGAGAAAATGTGGGAATGACTGCACAGGTGTTTAGCCTTCTGTTTGGTCCACTGTAGGGACAGGCCAGTTCGGTTCTAAAGACGGTAATTAGATGATGCCATTGCTGGAGTGAAGCAGCCTGCCCCAAGAGTGTTCCTACCCACTCTGGTCCCTGTCAAGAGCTTCTAATTTTTATTTTATTTTATTTTTTTGGTGCCAGAAGGATTGCTTGGTTTGGTTTGTTTTCAGCACGGATGATGACTGGAAATGAACCAAAAACAAGTCTTTCTCTGTCGAATTGCCAGTATCATGAGGTGACTGAGAAAGAGAGGCACTTCCGGATATTAGCAAATTAAATACTCCTTCAGCCAAGGAAGTTATTTTTTAAAAAGTGCATCAGGACAGTGCATATGTGTTACATCACTCCAAATAAGGAAGGAAAGGAAAGGAAAGGAAAGGGAAGGGAAGGGAAGGAAAGGAAAGGAAAGGAAAGGAAAGGAAAGGAAAGGAAAGGAAAGGAAGGAAGAAAGGAAGAAAGGAAGAAAGGAAGAAAGAAATGAAAAACTTTTTTCCTGGAAGCAGAAGGAGGCAGAAACCGCTGTTGCATTTGCATGCTTTCGAACCGCTAGGTTGGCGGGAGCTGGGACAAGCAACGGGAGCTCACTCCGTCGCATGGATTCGATCTTACGACTGCTTGGTCTTCTGACCCTGCAGCACAGGCTTCTGCGGTTTAGCCCGCAGCGCCACCACGTCCCTTATGCATATGTGTTACATCACGCTAAATAAAGAAAGAAAGAAAAGAAAGAAAGAAAGAAAGAAAGAAAGAAAGAAAGAAAGAAAGAAAGAAAGAAAGAAAGAAAGAAAGAAAGAAAGAAAGAAAGAAATGGAAAACTTTTTCCTGGAAGCAGAAGGAGACAGAAACCGCTATATGATACTGGCAAATCGGCAGCAGGCTGGTGCAGACCAAACAGGGTCACTTGATGTCTATATGCTATTTAGATGCGAGGATCACATCAAATGGCATGCAGGATCCCTTAGTGACCTTTTTAGCCTACTGCAGCAAAGCTGTGTAGCAATCCCTTTGTATGTGTCTCTTCTAGAGAAATGAAGTTCTTGGGATGTAGAGAGAGATATTCTTCCCCCCACCTTTTACTCATGACTGACCAGTGGGACTGCAGCCTGCCACCTTGGCTGCCTTTCTTACAGTTTAAAAGGGACTAAAGCTTGTTCTCCAGATGTTTTGACCTACAGTATCCAGAGTCCCTCATAACTGACCATGCTGGGTGGTGCAGATGAATGCTGTAGGCCTGACTTTAGATTAATGGGTAAAGGAATCACAAGTCATATTTCTTTTCTTACTGCTTCTGCGGAATGTAAGCACCTTATGGGCTCAGTTTCTGTTTTATCTATCATATCAGAAATAGAATAAGAGTTAGGATTGGCAGTAGTGCTACCTCTGGGCAGGGCTAGCATAGATGCTTAAGAATCTGCATACCTTGGAGGCAAAATCCAGGTTCATTTTAATTACTTGCAACCAAAATTGTGATGCTTTCTTATAACTGTTATGGACGCTGCTGTCTCAGTGTACAAGGTGCTTTTGCAGAGTTTTATAGAAAAGACCTTGATGTTGGGAAAGTGTGAGGGCAAGAGGAGAAGGGGACGACAGAGGATGAGATGGCTGGACAGTGTCACCGAAGCAACCAACATGAATTTGACACAACTCCCGGAGGCAGTGGAAGATAGGAGGGCCTGGCGTGCTCTGACCCATGGGGTCACGAAGAGTCGGACACGACTAAACAAACGATAGATAAGCTATAGATAGCTTACTGCAAGACATTTGGTTGGCTGAAAGAGCAGCAAGTAGCAACACACACACCTCTTGCTCATGTCTTGATGGCTAGGATCCAACGCCAGCCATGATGTTCGGCACAGGAGGCAGACAATCCCACATGCCCCACTCTTTGTCCCCCATAGTAAAGATACAATAGGACCAATAATGAAGTATAGAACAATATGTGGGTTTTTTTTATCACAGTTAAAATCTGCTGCTGGAAGTGGCCACCTCATTCCACTAAATGGTAGGTCTGGGCACTTGAGGCTGGAGATGGAAAGCAAGAAAAAAATCATGACAAGGGGGAATGCACAGAGATGTAGTCTCTGTCTCTCACACACACACACACCCTCTCCTTTAGCTGAGGTTGCCGTTTGCACCAGGACCAAAGCTTATAGGAGTGCAGATGAGCCAAGGTAATTCCCTTCAACAAAGGAGGCCTGTTTGCTCAGGATGCTTCCATAATAGTTCTTTAGAAGAGGAAAGCAAGGGTGCCCAGTGGCATCTCTCTGTATCATATGCAAGCACATGTAACGCACTGAACTGAGCCTGGAGGCCCCTGCTTAATCAGTGTGCTGTAAGAAGCTCTTTCTGTTGGCGGTATTCTGTGGCTTTGTCCCTTTTTAGCTAGATAATTGCTTAGAGGAGGGTTGTAATTAGAGGAGAAAGTTGCTCATGGCCTATAGATTGTTGCAGGGAGCAAAAAGCTGTTCTGGCCACCGATGGGAAATGTTTTGGGGGTTTTTTTGGTTCTGGCCACCGATGGGAAATGTTTTGGGGTTTTTTTTTGGACAACTCCCAGAATCCCACAGCCAACATGGTGATTGACCTTCCTCGATGTAGGGTTTGGGGACCTGCCGTCCAAAACCTCCAAACATTTCCCAAGTCTCATTCTAGCCTTCCCTTTGCCTTTCCTGGCTCTTGAGGTTAGACTTTGTTGAGCCTTCACCAGAGAAGGAAAGGGAATGCCATTCTGTTATTCAGAAATATGGTGGGCGCCCTTCTAAAGGAATGTGGATTAAAATAAGGAAAATGTAGAGCCCAGAGCCAGAAAGGAAAAGTGTGGAGAATCAAGTGAGTATATGGATGGCTAACTGGTTTAGGCATCTGGCTGCAGAGAGCCAGAGGTTGGGAGTTTGATTCCCCCACACTGTGCCTCCTTGACAGGGGCTGGATTCTGATTTGGTTACTATTGGGGATCTCTTAGGTCCCTTCCAGCTCTGCGGTTCTAGGTCGTGATGATGATGCAAGTTGCTTTGCAGAAACGAAATTGTAAATGGGAATAAGGAATAACAAGGTATTGCTTTTCCTAAGGTGTTTTTCATAAGCTGCTATGAAATCAGTCTTCCATGTTAATATTTGGTTTCTGCATAGCATTGTGTGGACAGTGATTGTGTTCATAACGGCTAATTCATGGCATTTGGGGGCGTAAGGCTTCTTACGGTGCCTGAACAACTGGTGGGAAGAATAACATTAGAGGGTACTTTCTCTTCTTTTCACATAACTCTTGCTGCAAGCTAAAATACACCTGTGGCCTCTACAAATTCATAATTCCATAAAGGTATTCATCCACTGGTTCTAGGCGGGTTAACTGTTTTGCATCGAATATCATCTGCAGTCTTTCTTTACTCCCACAATTTTTTTTGTTCTTTCCTGCACTGTTAAGTATCGCTGAAAACATCAATTTTTAAACACAGCTGCTTATAAATTGGGCTTCAAGGTAAGAAAATAAAAAATTAGGAAAGAAATGGAAATATTTTTTATTGTGGAGATGATAGAGGCACTAAGCTGATTTCAGGCTCTAGATTTTACATCTACTTTGTGAAAAATCAATTTTATCTTCTCTCTCTTTGTCTTGCTCATGGCATATTTGCCTTACGTAGCCAACTGATCCCTAGCGTTTGCCAGGCTCATATGTTTAATCCGTGCTTTGCTTTTGCATTGTGTGACTTCCATTGTGCTTGTGGGAGGGGAACATAGAGGGGATATCCAGATCTCAAGTACTGGATTTTCTTTTCTTTTCGTTTCTTTTGTTGTCATCTTTGTACAGATAAGACATCAGTGTGATACCAGAGCAGCATAGAAGCAAGAGAGCAAGACAAAGAGGAGGGCCATAGCACAGTGGTAACACACATGCTTTTCACGAAGAACATTTTGAGTTTAGTCCTCAGCACCACCAAATTGAACAGGAAAAATCCCTGCAGCTCATCCACATAGATCTAAGGTCCCTAAACTTAGGTTCTCAGGTCCTGTTGAGTGGCAGCATGCAGAAGAAGCCCTGATCAGGGGTCCACCTCACTAGGGTTTCTATGAGTCAATGGGTCAACAACACATGGGGGATCTAAGTTTGGGAAAAATTGGTGTAGCCAAGTCAGATCTTAATAGTACATGACATCAGGGCTAATCGATGGATTAACTAGATATCATGGTGTTGGTAGCTAACCGGTAGAACCTTTGCTTTCCACACAGAAAGTCCCAGGATCAACTCCTTGATATCTCCAGGCAGATTTGGGGAAGATCTTGCCTGAGACCTTGGAAAGCTACAGGCAGTCCATGCTGACAATACTGAGCTAGAGAGACCAGTGTTCTGACCTGGTATAAACCAGCTTTCTATACCAACTAATAATGCAACCTTATATGTAGCTGTATCTATATGTGTACGTATGTTTACATATACAGTATGTATATATGATATCCAGTGTAGTGTGGTGGATAGACAAGGGTCCCCAACTCCCAATCTGCAGCCCAGTACTGGCCTGTGGCCTTGGCAGGACTGGGCCGCAGAGACAGATCTCCCACCCCCCACATGCATGTCCTGCCCACGTGTGCACATGCATCCTGCCCACACACAAATGGACCCCTACCATGTGCATGCACAGACGCACACCCTGCCCACGGACGGACGCACGCATGTCCCACTAACGCATGCACAGACGCTCACACGCCCCGCACGGATGCACACAAGCCCCCCCACATGCATGCACGGATGCCCTCCACATGCATGGACACATGCCCTGCCCACGCACACATGGATGCACTCATGCCCCCGCATGCACACACATGGAGGCACACATGCCCTGCCATGCACACGTGGACACCCTCCTATGTATGCATGCTAAACCAGTCGACGGTACAAAAAAGGTTGGAAACCACTGGACTAAGACTCAGGAGGCCTTGATTCAAAGCCCTATTCCGCCATGGAAGGCTACCAGGACCGTGGAAGTGGTAAAACCACTCCTTAAGAATCTCACTTACTTTGAAAGCCCTATTAGGAGTGCTACAAGTAGGTTCCAATTTGAGGGCACAAAGCAACAACTGACTTCTGTATCTGCTCATAAATAAGACCTTTTCAGTTATGTGGGCCTATCTCCCTGGTACGGAGGTAGAGGATTGCAACCCCAGCTTGGTCTTGTCGTTGTCTTATTTTGTTCCAAGAACTGGCACAGAACGAGTATCCTGTTCAGTTGTGTTATCTGACTTGCATTTCAATCCATGTTTAGCCAGGCCACCCAGTTCACAGACCTGCACTATCGCTGGAGTATTGAGTCAAAAATTAATGGACTGTACGGCACCTTGCAGTATAGTATAGCAGTGTTGTGGAAGCTATCATTACAATGGCCAGTATCCTGTTGTGGAGCTCTGCCTGCAGGGTGGAAGTGATGTCACTGGCAGATTGCTACTAATTGACGAGTTCTCCTTTTTTAACCATTTATTTTGGGATTGTAAGAGAAAGTAATAGAGATAGGCCAGTTAAAGGTACAAAAAGGCAAATGGTTACTGCTACATATATCTTTCTTTGGACTTTTGGTCTTTGATCTTCAGGACAAGTGGGCAAAGGAGAAACTGAAATTTTTCTCCAAAGGCTCTCTTGTACCTTCAGAATAACCCAAGAGTAGAAGCAAAGGGCATGGTATATCCCAGAGAAGAGGAGACGGATAGGTGTGATGGCTGTTGTCAAATATCTGAAGGGGTTTGCATCACTCCAGAGGGCAGGAGCCAAAGGACAGGATTCAAATTATTGGAAAGGAGATACTGCCTAAACATTAGGAAGAACTTCTTGATGGTAAGTGCTGTTCAACGTGGGATGTAATACCTCAGAAAGTAGTGAACTCCTTCAATGAAGGTTGTTAACCTGAGGTTAGATGGCCCCCTGTTGAGGTGCTTCAGCAGGAACTGGACTCCTGGGTCCCCACCAGCTCTACAGTTCTATGATTGTATTATTCTGCTTGGAGTCTCTGTGTAATTTTAGTTCTCTTCAGAGGTTTTGGATTACAAATCCCTTCCTCTGGTTAACGGAAGACTGCTTTGACGGCGTATCCTTCATAAAGCTCTGTAACTCTTGAATATTGTATGTAGGAATTTTGTCCAGATTTCAGATTCTCTCTCTCTCTCTCTCTCTCTCTCTCTCTGTTCCTTTCTCAGCGGACCCCTTTGAAACAATGCTGAAGTCCTTGTTGCAGTATCAGTCTGGCCTTGGCGGAGGTGTGGGCGAGAGCTGCTTAAGGAAAAAGCTCTATGAGAATGGTGTGACCAAGTCATTGCAGAGCAACTTCCCTGTCATCCAGAAGGTGAAGGGTCTTGTTTGAGGGGGGGTACTGTTTTGCTTAGTGACATCCCTAGTAGGCCCCATTAAGGTCTGCTATAGTTTCTGGACCTGTTTCCATCATGGATCATATTTTTCTAATGGAGCCATAACTTTTGTGCATTGAATAGAAATCTTTCATTAGATTGGGAACATTGCTTCATCATTTGAGGACCGTTTTAGTTTAACTGCGCAGGTAGCTTATAGCATCGCACTATAGCTAGGGTTCCAGGGTGGATAAAAATCAATTAAAAACAAAAACCAATTTAAATCACGATTTAAATTTTTTTTAAAAAGGTTTTGTTTAAATCATAAAAAAACCTAATATTTTAAATTAAAATGGTGACTTAAACTGTTACTTAAATCAAATCAACTCTCTCTCTCTCTCTCTCTCTGTTCTTTATTTGTTTGTTTGTTTGTTTGTTTGTTTGTTTATTTATTTATTCGTTTATTCGTTTATTCATTTATTTATTTATTTTTAAGATTTATCACTTTTCCTGCCCAGCACCCAGGGGACAAGTAACAATGCTACCTTCACTAAAACTTGTTAATGTCCCTTTTTTTGGCCCACCCGTGTCCAAAGAACCTTTAGCCAGCGTGGTCCCCAGCCGTGGCGATGGAGAGACTCTGGAAGTTCCAGTCCAAAAACAGGGATCTTGTGTCAGCTTTGCTTTTGTTCTCTTCACGGGGACAGATCGAGAAAGGAAGAGATTAACACAGCTTTTAAATTTTTCTGTTTTAGCTGTCAGAAGAGCTGCTGGCAAAATGGTTGTCCTTCCCAGAATCTCAGCATGTGCCCCTCAGCCAACATATGCTGGGTTTCGCCATGAAGGCTGTCACGCAGGCGGCGATGGGCAGCCGGTTTGAAGATGACCAAGAAGTAATCCGATTCCGTAAGAACCACGATGCGGTAAGGAGGAGACAGGACGCTCCCTTTTGAGTTACAGTTTATATGGCAGAGGACTAAATTATTTAAATACACATTAAATCACAATGTTGAACATCTTCAGTTACTGAAATAGGATTGGATAACATGCCCTGTGGGCCATAACATGACATGCTTATAGTATTTAACAATATAAAACAACCGGTGTTTGTTGGGACTTGAGGCGCTTTTATTTTTAACCAAAGCATTCCTCTGCGGATGCAAGATCTGTGAAAAGCTGTTCCTCTGGAACACTTGTTGATAAATGAGTTTAAATTATGAAATAAGCTACTGCAGAGTTCTTCTGTCTAAATCCAGCCTGATTGGTATCGTGAAAATGCTCAGTTTTATCGTAGGCCTCACATTTCTTAAAAGTGTTGATCTAATTAGCCAGTAATAAACTAGCTGGTTTCTGTTTATCACCTTTAAGATTAGAGGATTAGTACAGTGCTGGGGGAGGGAACAAACCAGTGGTAGAAGGTGACCACGTCCAGATAGGAGAATAGACCGGCTGCAGAGTGAATCTCTATGGGTTCGTTAACTGCTCCTGTAGCAAGCAGAAGCAGTCAAGCATCTAGCACTTGTCCGCTGCTCATTTGTGACAAGCCAGGATCTCATGAACTGCAGTTTCCTCGGATCACAACTCCACCTCTGTGTGACACACTGGGTTAAATCTTAAGGTAACCACCAAAAGAGCTTCGTGGTAGGGAAGTTGTCCCTGCAGCCTCTTTTCCTTAGAAAGCCTCTCTGAAGAGCCAGTGCTCTCTTGGACAAGGCGTCCATATAGGGCTGCTGTGGGGAAAAGACCATTCAGAAGCTTTCTTCCATGAACCTCTTTATATTAACCTCCCAAAAATTCCAGACTTAGGTTGGAGCAAAGTCCTGGTCACCTCTTTCTGAAATGTCCCAATGTTCCTCCAAGGAGACTTATTGTAAGGGAAGGCAGGGTGGCAAGAGGTACCGTCTGTTCTGTCTGTGATCTTCCTTCAGAGAAACTGTCTTAGGGCCCACATAGGCAATGGCTGCCTACTATTTTTCATCTTCATTGAGGAACCAAACTCCTGATTTTTGTCTTCAGGGAAGACTGATGTCAAGACAAGATTCTTAATAAATCGAGTGATTTATTTGCATCTGTTTCAGATCTGGGCAGAAATTGGAAAGGGTTTCTTAGATGGGTCCCTGGACAAAAGCGTGACCAGGAAAAAGTTGTATGAAGATGGTAAGTTCCAGTCTCTTAGGATCATGTAAAATCAATGCATGGAAGACTGGGATGGCCAGACCGCAGAATGTCCCTTTTTCACGGTGGTGGTGGGGAATCATCAGGTGCCCTTTCACGGATGATGTTCTTCAAGGGAGTGTTGACATCTATGGAGATGTTGTGGAAATGCACTTGCTTTGTTTTTCAGTGCAGACCACGTTGTGGTGTTTGTTTTTGGTGTGAGTATTTAAAAATATATATATTTTAGTGTATGTGAACAAATTTTCGCAATTGCTGAAGACGCTAAAAAGGTAAAACACCTTCAGACTCCATCCATTTCTGGACAGTAGTCTGGGGCTGCCACCCTTTTCCAGCCCAGTAGTAGTATCGTGAGCAAATAGGATAAAACAAGCCATAAAAGTTTAAATACTGGGCACAGCCATTTACCTTGCAGTCATTGTACAACACAAGATCTCATGACCATACATCTATGTTGCCCAGAGGCAAACATGTATAAGGCCTACCTCCCTGCATGCAATTTCTGCACTAGTCCCCTGCTTTAGTTCATTCGTTTCTGCCCCTGATTTTCATCCCTCAGAAATCTAGACGTCTAGGAATGGGAAACCTATTCTTGTTGAGATCCACACATTGCCTCATTCCATTCCTGTCGAGTTCCACATTCCAGTGGTGGTGGATGGATGACTGCCTGTTTTTCAAGCTGTGCTATACAGTGACTTTGGGGATGGGAAAGGTAGATGGTCTTTTCCTTCAGTATACACATTTACTGTACTTGTTGATGATGATGAAGAAACGGGTAGGGTCAGACCCTGGAAAAGTGTGGTCATGGTGATGATAATGATTTTGGACTAGAAGTTCCAGAACCTGCACTGGCTGGGTTGGCTGGCGGATTCTGGGAACTATAGTCCAAAAAAAAGCAACTTCCAATCTCTGAAGAGGGAGGTGGTGAATGATTAACATCTGATGCAGTTTCAAATGATTCTTAATCTGTAAGCATGAGGGAGAGGGCCTGGCAGCTGGACTGACCTGAATTTTTCTTTTTCAAAACATCGCCCTCAAGTGACCACTAAAAGAACTCCATTTTTTCCTCTTTCCTTTGTTTTTGTTTTGTTTTTTGCTTAAAGCTCTGATGGAGATGGAATTAGTCTTGAAGAAAGTCATAAAAGAACGACAGGGAAAGAGTTTCAGCCGGCATATCTTCATAGATTCTTTACTTCAGGGGAACCTGAATGACAAGCAGGTATTTTGTCCGATATCTATTGCATAATTAGCCATTAATGCCATTTTGAGGAGAATTGCTGCTAGTTTCATCTTGGTGGGCATGATTAACTGAATTGCTGCTGTATATTTCACTTGCTGTAATCTTCTTTCTAGCTGAAAGGTGTATAGCTTTCCTCCTCTCTTAACTTTGTAATATGATTGTGTGTTTAGTGAACTGTCTTTGGATTGTGAATTGTTATGGTTTGCTAGGCTAATGTAGGCATGAGTCAAAAAGGGAAACTTTATTCAAGGTTTAGATCTGATGTAAAATAGTGCTGTTGTCAAGCTGGTGGTCGTTCATCTTACAGATGGATATATATGTGGCAAACCCATGACAGACAGGTAACATCAGTGCTGTATGTAACATATATGTGCTCTTCCCTTGTGAAAAACTTTTGGGGACTTTTGTCTACAATTTTTCTGCATTATCCATGAAGGAGGAGTGCTTAGCCTGAGGAAGTGGATTTAATCCATGAGAGCTTGCTACTTGTTAAGAAGTTTTTTGTGTCCGGTAAAAGGTATCATCTTTGTGTATCTCTTCCCTTGTCTGTGACTCTGCTGGCTTTCTGCCCAGGTTCCTGTCAAGCGGAATGTTTCTCCAGCGTGTCTGAGGTATTCTTCTGACATAGCTGCCATATTTGGCCCACTGAGGATCTGGACCGAGCCTGCTGAAGAGCTGGGCCCCTCCTCTTCCTCACAAACTTCCCTGCTCCCAGTCGAGAAAAGGAGTCCCAAATACAGTATATCTGATCACCGATAGGACCTCCTTTTATCCTTCTGGAAATACAAACCGGGAGGGCCTCATTCCTTCCCACGAAATGAGAAGGCTGAGGGGTGAAAATATATGCCTCAGTGAGCAAATCTTCAATATAGAATTGCACCCCAAAACCTCATCCTATTGTGGGCGTAACTTGGGAGAAAGCTCTATCAGACATAGTGGCATTCAAATCTAAGTAAGGAGGAATCTGTGTATGTAAATTTGTGAGCCGGAATGGTGCTTCATACTCTTCTTGTGCACATCTCTCCTACCCAGTTAGAGCTATAAGGTGCTGTTGTGAGCTACTGATTTCTTTTCATTTCCAGCATAGATAATGTCTATTGTGGGCGTAACTTGGGAGAAAGCTCTATCAGACATAGTGGCATTCAAATCTAAGTAAGGAGGAATCTGTGTATGTAAATTTGTGAGCCGGAATGGTGCTTCATACTCTTCTTGTGCACATCTCTCCTACCCAGTTAGAGCTATAAGGTGCTGTTGTGAGCTACTGATTTTTTTTCATTTCCAGCATAGCTAATGTTTTTAATGTACAGTGGTGCCGCGCATAGCGACGATAATCTGTGCAGCAAAAATCATCGCTATGCGGGGAAAAAAGCCCATAGGAATGCATTAAAACCTGTTTAATGCGTTCCTATGGGCAAAAAACTCACCTTTAAGCGAAAATCTTCCATATGGCTGCCATTTTAGCTGCCCGGTAAGCGAGGAATCCGGGCAGCCATTTTTTTTTTAACCTGGCGGCCATTTTGGAACCACCGATCAGCTGTTGGGAAATCATCGCTATGCGAAAATCAGTAAGCGAAACAGCTTACCGATCATCGCAAAACGATATTTTCCCATTAAAAACATTGCAATGCGATCGCAAAAACGATCGCAAAAAAATCGTCACTATGTGGATTCGTCGTTAAATGGGGCGCCCGTTAAGCGAGGCACCACTGTATACAGTATTTTAAATATCTTAACCAAATGGCAATGAAATTTAGCAGTAACTTCTATTCTGCTGTCCTGTTCTCAATCAGTTTCTCTGGGTGGGGTTATGCAGAAAATTACTATTTACTGATTCCATCTCCCTGAACCAGATTTTGTTTCCTAGATTTTGGAAGACACTATGATATTCTCCCTGGCAGGGTCCATCATCACCGCAAAGTGTAAGTATATAAAACAGGATAAAGCTCGTAGGCAGAGGCTTGTGACTCTTGTCACAGTAGTTCTGTTGCTCCTCAAGGTCCTGCTGAATTTGTGTGCTTTTCCCCCATAATAATGGATAATATTTTTTTACTTCTATTTATGTTGTATTTGTGGGGTTCAAACACCTTTAAGAACATTAATGATTGTTTCTTCAAATAAATTGTTTTATGACTTGATTTGGTAGGCCAAAGGGGTAAAAGACAAAACTGCAAGGCTTGGCAAATAGCATTCATGGTTGCTTCAAAACCTGATGACCAAACAGAAGATGCCTGGGGAACCGTGTGGCCCTGGGGATGCTAATGAACTCCACTTCCTAGCCACTCCAGCCAGTGGTGAGCTATAATGGGATTAGTAGTTCATCAGCTTCTGGATGGCCAAATGTTCTCCACCCTTGAAGGTGGGGAAAAGACTCATGTAAGCTCATGGTGTATATAATGGCCCCACAGGATGTGACTGAAAGCGAAAAGCCAATGGAACTGTAGGCTGTTTCCGTAGGATCTAGGATTGGCATCAGCATGGCAAACCAAAAGCAAATAATGCATTGTTGGAGGTATACAAGGAATAGGAAGAGTTGGGTTTGAATCCTTGCCCAGTTATGCAGCTTACTGGATGATCTTGGGCCATTGTCTACCAGTGTAACTTAAAGACTTTTTTAGAGGATGAATAGGAAAGCTCTGTGTACACCACCCTGAGGAGGTCAGCACACAGTTGTCACAAACACAACAGGATCAGAAGATTTGCTTTTTGTGAGATGGTTTAAGCTCTTGGTTAAAAAAGTTCTGTTTTCTGGCCTAGACAAGACAACCCTGAAAAATGAATGGACATGGCCAGTGATTATTGCTCCCTGTGTGTTTCAAAAACTTTACTGAAGTTTTAGGCAGTATGGGTTTAAAAGTTCTTATGTTATTAGGTCCCCCAAGGTTCTTCCCTAATGTAGAGTTTGAATGAACAATAATTTGTAACAGGAAATGCTGTACATAGGAGCCAGAGTGGGCTATGGGCCAGCGATATGTGTCCATAGGCAGGAAGAAGAACACTCCCTCAGCCTTCCCTCACACTATGTGCCCTAAAAACATGCTCTGGAGGGCTGGGAAAACCTTCAGGACGGGAGCTGCATGGGTAAAGGAGATGGGAAGAAAGCCCGAACGCTACTACAAGCATAGCACTGGGTCTAACTCATGCTGTGCCGCATTTTGCTTTGTTTGTTCAAGTCTCCTGGACAAGATTTTTGTAGAACATTTTCCCAGCTGGCTAGGTTTATATTTCTAGAGGGAAGGGGATATATGTTGGCAATAAGGGGATATATGTTGGCCCAGAGACCTTTGGGTAGTGTGGATGGCATATAAGTTAGTTAGATAGATAGATAGATAGATAGATAGATAGATAGATAGATAGATAGATAGAGAGAGAGAGAGAGAGAGAGAGAGAGAGAGAGAGAGAGAGATACCTCAGCACTTTTAGTTCGTGGCTAAAAAAATGTGTAATCGTCTGATATGTAATCACAAAAAAGCTTTGTTCTGTAAGAAGAATATTTATTTATACCTTTATGTACCACCCATCTAATGGCGAGCTGCTACACCATGCAGTTCACAAAAAACCCTGATCACTTCAATAAAAAATGAACCTATAATTCCAACAAAAGAAACCCCCAAAGGTGGCAGCTAAATTAGCATAGAATGTAAACATAAGGGGTTAACAAATCTTATCACAAGGGGAGGATATTCTTAAAGGCCTTATTTAAAAGCTCAGCTTTAACAAGCTTCCTGTAGGTCAGGAGGGAGGGAGCCTGGCGTACATCCACAGCAGTGTGTTCCAAAGCATTGCAGCCACCACCGAGATGGCCCAGTTCCTAGTGGTCCAGCCTCCCCTGGGAAAAATGAGTGACATGGGTAGAAGATCTTAAGGATAACACACTCTGACAGGTAACAAGGTCCCAAACCACTAAGGACCCTTTATAAGTTAATATTAACCCTTTAAATTTGACAAGGAAGCAAACAGGGAGCCAATGTAGGTGTGGCAGAAGTGGGAAGATGTGGTCATATTTCAAAGCTCCCAAAACCAACCTGGAGACTGCATTTTGAACCTGCTGTAGTTTCTGTATCACCTGCAAAGGCAGCCCCCTGTTGAAGGCATTGCAGTAATCAATTCTTAAGATTATCAGCACGTGAACTAGTGTAGGGAGGAAGAGTGTGGCGAAGTCTGAGGAAGTGAGCAGTGTTTGTTCTCTTCGTAGAAGGAAGATGTTGCTGACAGGGAGCTCTTTTCTGTGGCAACGACTCTCAATCCACAAAGGGAAGCTCATTCTGTTTGTGGGGTGCCCGTGTTGGAAAATGGACAGCATATATTGAGTTTGTTTCAAGATTTTAAATTGTTCAGAATGTAATGGAAGTTGAGAGTTTGTTTTTAGGTAAAGTGAAAACAATAAAGCAGAAGAGGAGAAATCTCCTCTCCATTGGTCATTTGCATCTAACTGACAGCCTGTGCTCACCCTCCGCCATGCAATTAATATTATAATAAAAGACTCCCTTTGCAAGAATAGGACTTTTGCCCCCTGTGTACAGGAATGACGTTGGGTGCGTGGGCAGGAGGGCAGGCCGTATTCCCTCTAGATCTTTAAAAATGTGAGTTTTCCACTGTTGAAAGTTACTGGCAATAAGACTGTGAGTTAGAAAGGGTGCAGGGGTCCGAGAAGGGATGAGTACTCCTTCAAACTTGGCAAAATTACCTCCACACTCCTTAGAGGACCTGGGGGAAACTTTGAGGTATTCTTTAAAATTTATTTTTATTGAAGGGGACTCAGCCTGTGAATTACATCTGCAATGTAAAGTTTACCCTGAGCTGTGGAGCTGGCCTAGGTAGCTTTAGACAAGTTACTTCCTCTCTACCCTCATGTATAATACGGAGTTAATAATACTAGCCGCCTTCTTGGGAGTTATTGAGATAATAACATATGTGAAGCACACGGAGCACTTAACCAAAAAAAAAAAAAAGCAAGATATAATTGCAGAGTTGCAACACTGCTTCAAAAGACTGTTCAGCCTTTTTAAAATGTTCTCCTGGTTTTTGGGAACATATACTTTCATTTCCTCAGAACCCACCAAGCAGCTGTTTCCTCTTTGTAGAAAGCACTGATCTACTCTCCTTAAAACATTGCAGCTACTTCATTTTGTCTGTGTGTGTTTGTGTGTGAGAGAGAGTTTAGCTAAAGTAAGGGAACTGAGAGTTGTAAGGAAGAAGTTGCTGTGCAAACATATCATTTCGCCCTCTGAAGTTGTCCTTTCCCCCCTCCAGTGTGCACCTGGGCAGTCTATTTCTTGACTACCTCAAAAGATGTTCAGCAGAAACTCTACCAGGAGATGGACCGAGTTCTCGGAAAGGGCCCCGTTACACATGTGAAAATTGAGCAACTCAGGTGTGTGCGCAAGAGAGACAGAGAGGGAGGAAAGGGTGTGAGAGGGAAAGGTTAAGCTAACGACCATTCTTAGATGATAAACATATTTAAATGAAAGAAAGCAGGTTCCTCTAAAAACCATGAGGCATCATGCTGTAATAAATCTGTGCATCTTTTAAGTTGCCACCATAGTTGTTGGTGGCTTTCCTAGAATCTGTTTTCACTGATTGTTTTTTTCAGTGGGGATGTTTGTGATGCAATAGGCTTGAGAGCAGGGATGACCAAAGTCTCTTGCAAATCTTTCCCACTCACTTTTCCTCTCATCCAGTCCACTCTACCCTTTCCCTCCTTTCCCTTGTTTCCATTTTGGTCTAAAGTGGTGGTAGCACTTTGTGAGTTCAAAATATGCTTAGCAATCGAGAAGTGTTAGCTTTAACACTGGGCCACTGTAGCCGGCTGAAAGGAAACGTGTGTGTTAATGGATTAGTCTCATTGCAAGTGGCAGGGTAAATCTTTGCCTCAGTGTTGGGTCTCGTGTTGGATTTCTGCTGTTACGGAGAAATCCTCTGGGCTCCACAGGGGTGTGGCGGGGGGGGGCATCTTCCAAGGTCAAGGAAAGGCTTGTAAAGCTATTTGTCTGCAGATATTGCCGGCAGGTTCTGTGCGAGACGGTGAGGACGGCGAAGCTGACACCCATCGCTGCACGGCTTCAAGAGCTGGAGGGCAGAGTTGACCAGCATGTTCTTCCCAAGGAGGTACGATGAGAAGCTTGGCAAAGAAATCCTTTGTGTCATATTGCTGGATGCTCATTTTTTTCATTGTTTAACTTTTCATTTTTATTATGGGGATGGGGAGAAAGACATTGACATACGAGAGCAGAAGAGACACACGCGTGCACAACATGCAGCAGACTAGATCATTTATTTTTTTCCCATGAGCTGATTGTATCTCAGCTTTAGAAGCCAAGGCATGAGGAAGGCTGTTACCTGCACATGCGGTCCTTTTGTTGCTGCTGCTTCAGCTTCAGACATGATTAAATCAGGAAACCTCTAATTAAACATAATTTCCTGATTTGTGCAGGAGTAGAAACTTGATTATACAGATATATTTTATTTTGTTTTATTATGCTGCCAACTAGATAAAAAATATATGCCTGGACATTGTCCTTAATCTATTTATAGGCATGCTTACTTGGAGGTATTTCCCACAGTACTATGTCAGACTTACCTCCCAGTAAGCACATTCAGGATCGCAACAGTCAATTTGTTTGTTTGTATGTATGTATGCATGCATGCATGCATTAGAGATGAAAGCATCAAGCTATTCTGTACATCCGGACAAAAGGTCTGAAGGCAACGAGGAAACCTGAATAAGTGATTGAATTCTGTCTGTCTTGATTAATAGCTATCTAGGGCAAAGTTGGTACCATGCAACCCCCATCCAGTTTTAAAATCCTTAGTAGTCCTCTCTAAAATAAAAAGAAATTAAATTAAAAGTTTTAAAAATCAAAATTACATTTCTGGGAGGCTGTAAGAAGCACCTTTTATTCCCTAATCGTTTTCCCTCCCACCATAATCTTACACAAGTGAACGTTGTACTTTGGGTGACTTCTAATTTTGTCAGGAGGGGGCGCTGCAGCCCTCGTTGGCTCTGAGAGCTAATGTGCCTCCCCCTCCTCTCCAAAGATGTTCTTCCCATCCTCAAAAGTCTCCTTTCATGAAAGCAAAAGGACAACTATTGAGGCTTCCATGCTTATCTCGTTGGAGCCACTGAGGTTTTTCTGTTTTGCCACCATGACACCATTTGCCCTAAAAGGACATCTCTCAAAAACATTTCTCAGTAGCTCCGTCCTCTCACCTTCTTTCCCACAAATTCCTCACTTCCAGAGTCAGCTTGTAGCAATAACTAGAACATTATGGGTTTGTGTTGAATTCAGGCTGCAGAATGGCTGGTAATGTGAGGTGGAAAACATTTATAGGTTGCATGCATTTATATGAATAAAGCCATTACAGCACAGGGTGGACGACTGGCATATTCACTTCCGTGTGGCAAGGATGTGTATCTGAGCTGACTAATGTGATGTGTTTTCTAATTTCCATTTCAGACTCTTGTGCTCTGTGCTCTCGGCGTGGTGCTGCAGGACAGCGCAACCTGGTCACTGCCATATAAGTATGGACGACAAGCCACCTTGTCCTCTGTTTATCTTTCCTCTGTTGATTTAGCTTACTGATTCTGCAGGAGCGGTTGGGCTTTGATTTGTTCTATTTCGGCTGTTGTATTGTAGAGGCCGATGAATGAATTTATTTATTCATTCATTCATTCATTCATTCATTCATTTATTTATTTATTTGTTGGACTTATATGCCACCTATCTAGACACAATCTATTCTGGGCGGCTCACAACAGAGAATATAAAACAATTAACATAAAAAGCAGTTATACCACCACTTCGGTGGTGTTAACAATTATTCAAGACAGAAAGAAGGACTGCACTTCGAAGGGTCTTCCTTATAAGCCAACCCTCGACCTAAAGCAAAGAGTGGGCAGAAGGTGACAAGGGGCAGCCTGCAGATCTCCCAAGGCTGTTTTGGTCGCCCCAAGGCAGGCAGGCAGGCAGGCATGCGTGCATGCACCCCGCTTTTCGAATCCAGAAATGGATACTTCCAGTTTATTTTCATTACTTCTCTCACACACAGACACTCACAAGAGCATTTTGAAATGGTACAGGGCCAACGATGTGTGGCTGCAGATCATGCAGTTCAGCTCCCTGACTTTCAAGTCAAAGGGTGGCGAACAAAATGGAAAGGAGAGATTCCAGACTCAGGACTTTGCATCATGGCTTACGTGACCTTGCAAACTGCATTTGCAGCATCTTTTTTTTTTAAATCAATGAACACCCTTTTCTCATGTTCATGATTTTCTGTCACAAATGCTGTGTGCCGCTTTTTTTAAAGGCACCCGGGAGAATGGCATGCTGCAGTCGCAGTTCACCGTACTGTGGTTCAGATGAGGAAACCTCAATCAAGGGTTTCTTTTTTAAAGGTGACAGAGGTCCTGCGTCATTATTTCCAGATAGGAGCATTAAAGAGGGAGGGGGGGAGAGAATTCTTTAAATTTTGAATTCCATAGTGTGGACAGAAATGTTGTAGCTCTCTTTGACCTCCAGATGGCAACTTTTAACATGGTTCGGTGTCACGCACATGGAAGCTGGGCTTGAGATGAAGTGGGTCACTGACTTTAATTCAAGATGACATTACATCTAATCAAAGGGGGAAAATCTCTCTCTGGTTGCTGTGATGTTGTCTCTGGGTGTAAAAAGAGACAACAGAACTCGGCCCAAGGAGAACTGTGAGCTCTGATGTCTTCAAGAGCAATACAGAAGTGGCTTATGAAGAACTAGAATGGTAAATGCTCTTTGGCTTTAAAATGTGAAGTAGAGAAGACGAAGCCAGCTGTATGCCTGTATGCTCACACACATACATAGCATACATAGCCTTTAGGAATTGCTTATGCAAAGATATTCCTGCCTTCTGAAGGTTTTCATGCATAGGCTTTCCTGCCGATTATAATCTAGAGATCACCTTGATTCTTTTCTACTCCCTGTGCAGCTATGGTGGGTGATCCAGTTGGGGCTCCATGTTTCCAGCCCCTTCCCTCGTTGTGGCATCTCCTGAAGCAAACGGGAAGCATTGCTCCCAGCAGACAAGAGGAGGGAGAGAAAAACTGAGCCCGGCAGGAACTGAATAACCTACCCGAACCTATGTGATTTTGAGGCTACAACTCCCAGAATCCCATAGCAGCTGTGGAATTCTGGGAGCTGTAGTCTGAAACATACACATATCCCCCTTCTGCGGAGCATTCTCCGTAGCAGCTGTGGATCTTTGTGAGGCCATTCTGTTTATTCCTAAGTGGGGAGAATGTAGCATTTACTGCAGCAAGTAATGTTGATTAAAGACCATGCTGTAGCATGTGTGGTTTTCTGGAGCGTGATCGTTCACTGGATGTTAGATCCCTTAGGGTTCCTGCCTTCCGCTTGTGTTAACCCATCTTGGGTCTCCTAAAGGTCATCTAGAATTTGCAGTGAAATAATCCAACTTTTCTGAAGGGCCAAAGCTTCACAGTCTTAGCCGAGACAGTAGGCAATGGCAACTCCCCATCGGCAGCCCCCCCCAGACTTTCTCCAGCGTATGCCAGCTACCAAGAATTCCCATGTCAGCCACAGTACATTGGCTGTAGTTGCATCCTGCAAAATGGTGAGCTGTTGTCACAGTTTATGGTTTTTAACGTGTATTCTAGCTGGCCTTTAAGGGAATGTGGAGAAGCAGAACAGTTGAAACAGCTGAAGGCTTGAATAAGAAGGAATCTAACGCTCAGTGAAACATCCTGCTTTTGCAAATTGTACTCAAATTGTCCATGGACTATGGTTTGGCCTTTAATCAATATTATTAGTTACGGTAAATGCGTCCTCCTTGCCCCACCCCATAGAAATAAACAAATTGGCATCATCTTTCTGCCTTTTCAGTCTCTTGCTTGTGGGGATCTTAGTGTTAATTTAGGCTTGGCTGTGTAACTGCATGTGTAAAAAAAAAACAAAACAAAAAAAAAAACGCCATCCTGGTGGTGAAACAAGCTTTTCTTTCTAATGACTCATCGGCTCCTGCACACACATTCATTCGCAGGCCAGCTGGGTTGAGAAAAACTGTGAGGCCGCTTCCCGGGAAAAGAAGAGAGAACATGAAAATTATAAAGACGTTGACTAAATGATGCAGAATTGGGGATGAAAACTGCATTAGATTGATGCAAATACAGAAACAGGGCTCTCTTCTGCATTGACGTGTTTCTGCTTTGCTGATAAAGGCATTTTTGTAGATTTTGTAGAGAGGCTAATTTTCGTTTTCTCCCTCTTGTTCCTGTTTGTTGTAGATTCGATCCAGACAGATTCCATGATGAATCTGCCATGAAAAACTTCTCTCTCCTGGGTTTTTCAGGAAGTCAAGAGTGTCCTGAACTGAGGTGAGGTGGAACAAAGAAAAATATCTGTTCATATAAAAGAAAGGAAGAGATCCATTCCTTAGGATGCTTTGTAGAGTTTTGTCCATATAACGGTGTGTGTGAGATCTTCTCCATGACATATTCTGGCTTAGTGGATGGAAGGAATTTGATGGAAAGAAAGTTTGCCTCCTCCTCTCCCAACATGTGCCTGCAAACAGGAAACATATTTTCCAGAACGTAGGCTGAGGCTCTGAGATCTAGTGCGGTCAGCAATCATCCCAAATTCTGTATGATTTCCCTCCTGCTCCCTGTGATTCCTTATCTAACATTATATGTGAAGACCCCCTGCCCCCAATTGTTTAGTAAGGCACACAAATTGGAACATTGTTTTAAAATAATACTTCTCATTGTGCGATAAGGTTACTCGTTAATTTAAAAAAATCACAGTGAGCCTCATGGTATAGCGGTTAAACTGCAGTGCTGCAGCCAAGACTCTGCTCACGACCTGAGTTCGATCCTGATGGGCTAAGGTAGCCAGCTCAAGGTTTACTCAGGCTTCCATCCTTCCGAGGTTGGTAAATTGAGAACTTGGCTCGTTGGGGGGCAGAGCAATGTATAGCATGCATAATTAAATTTAAACCGTCCTTATAGTGCTTTAAATGCTGTTGGGTGGTATATAAGCAGCACACTTTGCTTTTTGTTGTTTAAACGCAGGTTGGAACCATAAGACAGAGTCCAAAATACACATTGTGATAAAACTTTTATTAAGCTGATTTAAAAGGAACAATACTATTTTTGGCAACATTATGGATATTTTTTTAAAAATACTTAAAATATAGAAATGTCCCCCACCCAAATATCCTTCAATGACCTCCCCCCAAAAAAACTAATAACACTTTAGAAGTAACAAGTAAATCTGACCCATTGCGTGGGGAAAGTAACACCTTTACATTGTTTCTTAAAAAGTAATGTTGCTGTGGGTGGAAGTGCTTGGTTGTGGGGCCAGGAGTTTGAATCCCCAGCCTGCTTTCTGGGAGAGCGGCCAGTTGAGGTCACTCAGGACTTACTTGCCTTGCCACCCGTGTGGCCTTGGGCAAGCTGCACAGCTCTGGAGCGCCACCAGGAGAAGGGACTGGTAAACCATTCACAGTATTTTGTAGCTAGAAAACCCTGGAAAGGGTCACCCTAACTCAGAATCCACTTGACAGCACATAATTATTTATTGTCGTGCTCTTATTACCCCCAAATATGACTTATTACAGTGTGAGTGTTCGGTAAAGATGTCCTTATTTTTTTCCAGCAAATCCAGGAGTCATGGGTGTATCAAATGTAAAGTCTCTATTTATTAATTCAGATAACAAGCCAACTTCTTTAACAGGTTCTCTCCGCAACTTCTCTTGGGAGGCCAACGGGTCTCGCAAGGGCAACCACATGTCATTTTCAAATGGGTTGAGGCAGTGGTTCCCAACCTTGGGCCTCCAGATGTTCTTGAACTACATCTCCCAGAAGCCTTCACCATCACCTCTGCTGGCCAAGATTTCTGGGAGTTGAAGTCCAAGAACCTCTGGAGGCCCAAGGTTGGGGAACACTGGGTTGAGGGATTTGGGCTCCCAGGGCCCCGCCAAAACTGGTTCTAATTCCGGGGGTTCCTCTTCAGGCCCCTCTGGGACTAATAATGGGAGGGTCTTCTCCTCTCCGGTCCATCCCCACATCAGAGATCCCTGTCCCTCCAAAGTACCTCACGATCTGGGTAATCCCTCATCTTCTGGATCGCCTTGGTATGCCATGCTCGGCGCTCTTCTGCTGCTCTGGCCATGGCTTCTTTCTCCTCTCTCAGGCGGCGCCTCCACTCCTTGGCTTCTGATTTGCCCCAATACGAGGGTCTTTGCGGTAACCCCCGGCGGCGCCTATAATCGGCTTCTTGCTCGGATACTTTCACCTGCTCCCATCGTCCCGTCCAGGGATCTTCTAGCCGAACAAGTTCCCATCCCCCGGGTATATTGTCCCAGTCCCTATTTATATCCCCAGCTCCCGCCTCCACCACTTCCCGCGCTCCTTCCTCTTTTCCCGCCAACGTGGGTTCAGTTTGAGTGGACGCAGTTAACCCCTTCATACCCACTTCTAAGTCTTGGGTGCCTATTCCCTGGCGTACCAGTGTAGGGGTGCGTGGAGGAGTGTTCTATATGCTTCTAGCAGTCCTCTTGAGGGATGGCACTCCAGTGAAAACCTCTCGGGTCTCGTCCCTGGTACTACATACAGGTAACATTGTTTCTTCTGTTGACTTAACGGCCAACATTGCTGCATCCAAAGTGGAGGAGCTCGGAGCCGCCTTCCTTTAACTTCTTCCTTTGTTCTTTCCCTTAGGATTCCAGCAAGTATCTCTTTCTTAATGGACTTACTATCTTTTGGATTGACTAGGTTTGCCTATACGGTGGCTATGGTCTTGCTGAGCGTGATTGTGAGGAAGCTCCACCTGCATCCCGTGGAAGGTCAAGTCATGGACACTAAATATGAGTTGGTCACATCCCCTAAGGAGGAAGCATGGATCACCATATCTAAGAGAAACTGAGAGGAGAACTCCAGTCGTACTGTGGCAGAAGAGCCCACCGGGTCACTTTCCGATATTTTGATGTAATCATCTTTAGATGCTCTTGGCTTAAAACACTTCTGTTCTATAATGAAAATGGCATCAGCCCATAAAATCTGGTTGCCCGTTTCATTGCTTTAAGCAAATCTGTGAGATTAATGGAAGAGGAAACCACATGTTCCGGTCTGGATGCCTTAAATACCAAATATTATGTGTGGCGAGATGGTGGGTAAGGCATTTTGCACACACGTAAGAGGAACTTAACAAAAAAACTTTCCTATGAAGGATCACTTGTGCAAGACTGTCTTGTACTAAAAGAAAACTCAATGTATGTAGGCTAAATCCTGATGAGCCCAGGCCTTAAAGGAAGCCCTGATTTGGTTATCAAAGCCAAGTAGGTGCAAATTCTCAATGAACAAAGAGGCTGGAATCCAGAAGTGTTACCTGTTAAAATGTCCTATAACTATAGGACTTTTATGTCTTCTCCCTAGAAACTGTGGTGTAGAAAATGGAGAACAAGGGAACTGTGAGATGGCTCAGGTTCACTGCTTTCAGGGGCACTAAGCTATTTTGACTTTAACTGGATTGGGAGCAGAGGATCACAAGAGTGGTTCAGTACAGAGCAGGGATCAATTTGTGCATAGAGTTAGCGTGATTTTTTTTTAAAAAAATCACACTGAACTAAAATATTTAACCTTTAGGAATCGCATTACATTTATTTTTAAAATTGAGGGTCTCTATGACAAGCTTTTGGCAGATGGGGGAGGTCAAGCTAACTGTGCTAACAATGCAGTTATTTCATTTTCTTCAAAATCAACTTTGATCAGAATGAATCCAAAGCAGTCTTCATACATAAATAACCATTCCTTGTCAGAGGTTCTGAATTATGTTCAGCTCTCCTCTTTTTCAAAGACAGTTCTGCCCACTCCTCCCCATTCCCTCCTGATGCATCTCAGTATTTACATTTTTACATCTTGGATTTTTACATACTTATTGGTTCTATTGTTTTTAAATTTTGTAATGCCGCCCAGAGTAGACCCAGTCTAGATTGGCGGGGTATAAATCTAATTAAATAAATAAATAAATTTCCACTATTGCTAACCTTTTTATTGCCAATTTTTATACAATTTTTTTACAATTACAGTACAATGTGGTAGAAAGGCTTTGCAAAATCAGTACAGTGAGTTCAGAGATCTGGGGCTCTAGATACCGGGAAGCAGAGGAGCATTTTCCCTTGCAGTGTTGTGACACAACATAATTCCTAGGTGAGTCATCATTTTACAGAGTGGTTGTTTAAACCAGTGGTCCTCAACCTTGGGCCTCCAGATGTTCTTGGACTTCAACTCCCAGAAATCCTGGCCAGAAGGGGTGGTGGTATAGGCTTCTGAGAGTTGTAGTCCAGGAACATCTGGAGGCCCAAGCTTGGGGACCACTGGTTTAAACTGAATAGACCTCTTCCCTGGTTACTGACCTCCTGCTCGTAACTTTAGGAAGACTGTGTTTGCAGTGTTTGGAAATTCATGTTTTTGGACAGTAGTTCCCAGAATCTCCCGGCCAGCATGGCCACACACCTTGGGAATTTGGAAAGTTGTAATTGCATGCAGTAACATTTCCAATTTCCTACACCATGGATGAAGAATCATCTTCAGAGGGCCCTTTGGAGAATGTGGGCCAACATGTGGAAGGACCTGCTATGCACGCGGGCATTGCACAAGTGAGGCACTAAATGTAAGCAAGTACCCAGATGTCCAAGGGTTCTTGCTCACACATAGAACCTACACATAAGCAAGAACTTCTCCTCTTCTGAGTCATTGTTGTTTGCATGAGCAATGCAACATTGGGTGCTGGGTAGGGCCAGGGACACTTTTCTAAGTATGTGGATGAGCCCAGAGATTACACTGCCTGAATAGCAGTGAACCTTATGTTCAATGAACATAGGGTCCTTGTGGACTCTTTCCCTTGAACTTAGCTAATGAGAATTAGAATTTGTCTCACTATTCTGTCTTTGATTAGGACTTAATTTCAGTTTCCCGTTGTCCTGTCTTCTTCAGTTCTGTAAATAAAGGTTTCTTTGATCTATTTTGCTTGCCCATGTTCCTGTGCTCCTTTGGAGAAGAAAGATTGGCTGTCTCAGTGGGTTTTGGTTTTGCACTGACATTCAGTTGAATACCAGGTTGCTGAAAAATTATATCTGAGTAATGTTTTTTGAAGTACAAATCCCACCATTGTGGGCTTTGTTAGCTATAGCATACTAGGATTATTGTCCAACAGCATCAGGGGGTCCACGTTTCATAATTACTGTCTTAGATAATCATTATCATCCGTATCACTGTCTCTTGCAGCAAAATCCATAGCTCTATGAAGCCAAAATGGGGCTACTGAAGAAAATGAACCGGTATTATTGGCATGTCAATCACAAATGTGAAGATATGGGCTCAACTTTTTTAAAAAAGTAACACCTGCCAAAGAACTACTAGCAGCAACAGAGTGCTAGAAAATTAAAACAGCAAGGAACAGGAAGAATTAACTGCCCTGTGCAGCAACAGAGTGCTAGAAAATTAAAACAGTAAACTGAAGGAACAGGAAGAATTAACTGCCCTGTATGAGTTTCTTAACAGTTTATGCCATCCTGGAGGGACAGTCTGGCTTACTGGAGCTCTAAACAAGATCACTCTCATTATAGGGTGAGGACACACATCAATGGTACGGTGGGCCCTACTTGTCCCTACTAATACCCTGTTTCCCTGATGCTCTAACCTGAAAATAAGCCCAAGTATGATTTTTTTTTTCCAGGATGCTTGTAATATAAACCCTAGATTAGGCATCTTTCAGTCTCGAGAGGCTATGGTAACGTGCTCTATATGGAGGACTTGGAACAGCATCTAGTGTGGCTGAGAAGGCCAATTTGAGATGACAATCCCTTCCACACTGAAGACAAATACAGTCTGTCCCCTGTCCAGCTCCCTGATTTTGCTGGTTTCGGGACTGCCTCTGTCACAGCCTGCTGGACAAAATAAGCCCCTGTTAAGTGAAACCCCATCTTCCACCATTGTGCAGCAACCAGAAGAAGATGACATGATTTTATTTGAATAAATGTGGATTACCATACATGAAAAAAAAAACATCACCTGAAAATAAGGCCTCACATGTTTTTGGAGCAAAAATTAATATAAGACCCTGTCATATTTTCAGGGAAACACGGTATCTAGTAGCAGAATCTCTCTCAGTTGAAAAACTGGCCTGCCAAATAATGAGGTAGCTCTTTGCACATGCCAAGGGGACCACCAATATATGAAAAAGGCATAAAACATAATAAAGTAGCATGAATATATATATATTTGGGGGGGACCCAAATGGCTGTGGGAATACTAATTGAAAGCACATAAACAAAAGTGAAGTAGGAAGGTAACAAATTATCTAAGACTCTTAGGAAAGGGTAAATGGGACATTCCTTGTAAAATAGCAAACTACTAAACTAAATAACAAAACATACCCAAATAGTTAAAGCAAACAGGGCGACGGCAGCTCAAGCAGCACCCGCAGCAAGCACATGCATTCTTTGCCTCGCTCTGCCAGTCGGCATCAGTGTGAGAAGTTCTCCAGGAATCAGACAAAAGCAATTAACCCCTTATGAGGAAGGGAGACAGAACCCATTGTCTTTAACGTAGGTCCTACTTCCAGGTGAGGTCCACTTCAGTAAAGACAATCACATTAACCCCGTAAAGACTGGAATGTAGATGTTGCCATATCCCAACAATGGCCTGGTGAGCTTCCAAGACCTGTGTAATGTTGGCAGCATAGAGAATTTTGTTTAAAAGAAGAGACTTGTAGAAGGATCCTAGGTTGCTGTATCCTGTACATATTTTGCTGAGTGTAAGCACATCCCCCTTGAACTCAGTGTAATGTACTTTCTAAAGAGATCTTTCATATGATTATGCTTTTGGAGCAGCAAAATGTCTTACTGTCTCTTCCAAATCAAAAAGGTAAGATCTCCACATTGATGTTATATGTAAGTCATAGTAATGGGTCATCAGGTTGATTCCAACTTACAGCAACCTTTTGCAGGGTATTGTAGGTATGGAACAATTGATATTTTCTCCATAATCCAGCCCATGTTAACAATTTGGTCTCTAGTTCCTCTGCCCCTTCAAAATCCAGCTTGTACTTCTGACTAGTAACAACTTCTAGTTACTACTACATTGTTTTCTAGGTGCTTGCACAATGACCGCTTTACGATCTGTTCCAGAATTTTGCCCAGGATTGATGTCAGGCTGACTAGCCTATATTTCCTGAGTTCCTCTTTTGTGCCCTTTTTAAAGATAGGGAAAACATTGGCCCTTATTTTGCCCGGGATTGATGTCAGGCTGACTAGCCTATAGTTCCTGAGTTCCTCTTTTGTGCCCTTTTTGAAGATAGGGAAACCATTTGCCCTTCTCCAATCCTTTGGCACTTCACCCGTTTCCCATGATTTCAAGAAAATAATGGATAACTGTTCTGAGAGTTCTTTCCCATGATTTCAAGAACATAATGGATAACTATTCTGAGGGTTCTTCAGCTAGTTCCTTCAGTACTCTTGGGTGCAGTTCATCCAGCGGTGGAGATTTGAACTCATTCAAGGTGGTAAGATATTCCTTGACTATTTGTTTATCTATATCCATCTGCAGTCCTGCCCCCCACAAAATTTGTTTGGAAGTTCATAGTCTGTCTTAGGAGAAAAGACTGAACTAAAATAGGAATTGAGCACCTCTGCCTTTTCTTTCTCCTCTGTTATTTTTCCATCTCCATTGCGGAGCTGTGCCACTATGTCTTTAGTTTCTCTTTTGCTACTCACATACCGGAAAAATGTTTTTTAAAATTGCTGCAGTCCTGCCCCCCACAAAATTTGTTTGGAAGTTCATAGTCTGTCTTAGGAGAAAAGACTGAACTAAAATAGGAATTGAGCACCTCTGCCTTTTCTTTCTCCTCTGTTATTTTTCCATCTCCATTGCGGAGCTGTGCCACTATGTCTTTAGTTTCTCTTTTGCTACTCACATACCTGAAAAATGCTTTTTAAAATTGCTTTTAGTGTCTCTGACTAACTTCAGCTCATTCTCAGGTTTTTTTCCTCCTAATGTCATCC